ACCTTGGGTTTAAGAACTGCCAAGTGCAGATTTATTTCAAACATTCGTACAACCCTGAATTATCCAGAAAATTTGGCGAGGGAATTTGTTTTTCCCTTTTTAGTTTAAGTGCCAGCATTTGCACTCAGAAGCTGAAGCACTGTATAAAATGCCACTCTTGGGACATGCTGTGCCTCTCTAGTGCTTGTGTTGGGCCTGTGAAATACTTTGAACTTCTCAGAATAAGGAATGTAATATAAGTATGCAGTGGTGATGGTGTCAGTAACTTCTGTTTTTGCAGCTGGGAACAATGACATACTAGAGGATAGGTTCAGCTGAGATTCAAGGAAAACAATTACTTAATGAGGCTGTGAGCTTCATGAGAGTGGGACCAAGGCAAGGTGAACAATTCATAACAATAATGGTCTAAAATAATAATACTGTCTTATGATATATACTATACATGTAAAATACGTTATAAATGATACCATTTCCCTGGCAACCTATTTTTCAGTTTATCTTTGACAGTGTGCTAAAGTTAGGCTTTTAGAATCCACAAACCAAATTAAGACACAAGAATACTCTGATACAGTGGTAAATGAAAATCAACCAGTTTAACAAAGAGTGTATGCAAAGATTGTGTGACCATGAGAATGTGAAAAGCCAGAGTATGTGCGTCTCACATCACCTTTGTGGATGCGTTTTGGAGACAGCATTAAAAAGTGAGTGATAGCATAAAGTTCTGTAGCCAAGCGCAGCCAGTTTAGATTGTAGCTCTACCATTTACTACCCTAGAGCACTGGAAGGACTATGTATAACAGCCTCTGTTCTGCCTCTGCAGTCTGAATGGGAAGGTGACCTACATCATGTGACTTTCAAGAGTACACAACATTATTGCATATAAAACATATACTGCCTGACCCAATGTACTTGCTAAGTATTGGTTATTATTACAATGTTAGTGAAAGCTGCAAAACTTCTTAATCAGAAGATTACATATACAGAACTCCCCAGAAAAATTGTATTCATTTCATTCCTTTGAAAGCCCCTAGACAGCTACCCAAGTCTTGAAGGAATTTAGTCCTAAAATTCTTTTGGTGTATATTATTGTTGAAGGGTAACTGTTAATGATTCCAGGAACCAATCTGAGAGGTGTGTGGCTTATTATGAAGTGGTGATCAGCAAGGTCAGGTTGAGAGATAACTGCGTTTTTCTCTGAGTCTGCTAGATTTTTGACCTCTTGATTGTTGCTTGCTGTAAAGCTTTTGGGGTTCAGTCTTTCTTTTTTTTTTTTTTTGTTTTGTTTTTCTCCGGTACCGGGAACCGAACTCACAACCTTGCGCATGCCAGGCAGGCGCTTTTGCCGCTGAGCTAAATCCCCAGCCCTGGGGTTCAGTCTTTCTATACTTGAAAGTGAGGGAGCTCTTGGTCTTCTAAGGCCAGTAGAATGCAGACCCAAAATATTTGGCACAGCTGGAAGTTTTAGAGTGTCTGTTGTGGGTACAACAGTCCCACAAATGAGCACTCAACCTTTTTCTCTGCTCTGCTCTCAGTTTGTCTACCAGCAGGCTCCATTACCAAATCTTTACTACTTTGATTCAGTCTTCACCTCTGCATCATCCCTATAAGCATAGGTGCAAATAAGAAGCATGATGCAAACCAGACTTTCTCATAAACAGAAGTCCTCTTGGGATACTGGTAATAACTACAATGAAATATCTACCAAAATTAACCTAGATCTGTTTCCTGGCTAATTAGATATTTTCCCACAGGTAGAAACACCAGTAATTCCAAATCTGCTGTTACCCATTATCATCCCTATTTTTTGGATAAAATTCAAGAGATTTTTTATTTAGATCATTTCTGAAGTTATGCATTATCAAATGTCAGAGTAAAGTCATCCAACCCGCTCCTTTCCATGTGTAGTTTCATGATGCTGATTTCTTCCATCTAATTACAAGTACTCCAAGAAGAACTAGGTTTTGCAACTCAGCATGAGAACAAGTAACTCTATTTCTTCAGGCTGAGTTGAATGCAGGAGATTTACTGAATCTGCCAGGATATAGCTGCCTAAGGTACAAATTAAATGTCCCCTATTCTATTATTCTATATAGCACTAAGGTTCCTAGGGAAAATGTCTATCTCCTGGTGGTCAGAACCCGTGCTGGATATTTCTGAAGAAATTTTACCTTGATGATATATAAGATGGAAAACTTACTTCTTTTTTTTTTTTTTCCTAAAGGGTAAAATTTAAAACATAGTTTTAACTGTGTGTTATTATTTTTAAATTACTAGGTTGATTCAGATGTGTGAAATCCCCATGTACTTTTTGATATCCTGCTGTTTACTCATAAAAAAATAAGACATGTATGTTCATTTGGGAGAATTGCACTTTGTCATAAGTAATTGGCTGGCATGTCTCTCTGCACTGAGCTTTCTTCTTGTTGATTTGCCCTTTACCCAAGTAACTATACTGAGAAAGTAAAAGGATGTGACTGTTGTACCCCTGGCAGAACCAGAGCTCTTGTATTGAGACCGGCATTCAGTTATACCTTGAGTCCTTTCCCACTGCCCTGACAGTAATGTGTTGAATCTACTAAATTACCATTAGAATTCAGGATTAGTTAGCAGATGGCCAAGTCATGCTGTAGAAGCAAAACTTCCTTGTTTTTTTCCTGGGATCTGTGACATACCTTCCAAGAGGTTCATGCCTTACCAGCTTCTAAAATGGGTTCCTGCCAGGCATGGTGACACACACCTATAATCCCAGTACCCTAGAGGCTGAAACAGGATGATAGCTGGGAGTTCAAGGCCAGCCTGAGCAACATAGTGAGTCGAAGCCAGCCAGGAATACATCAAGACCCTCTTTCAAAAGGCAAAAACAAAAAAGATAAAATAAAATTGGTTCCTGTGAAGTGTGGTATGCAAACAAAACAAAATAATTCTGTTTTCATTCTCATATTTTTAAAGTTCAGATAATTGGGTTATAATTTCCTGAGTAAAACTTCTTTGGTCAATGCAGCCTTACAAAATAATGTAGTTCCAAGTTACCCTTTGAAAATGGGAGTATTCTTTATTTGTTTTTAGTTTGAGGACATAACAAAAAAGATATCAAAACTCAATAGTTCTTTGATTTTCCTATGTTCTTCATAGTCAGTCCACCAAATAAAAGCAGTAGCTCTTATTATTGTAGCTAAAATTATGTTAAGTACTGCTTCTGAATAGCATATTGTGCACCAAGCACTAGGTTAATTGGCATTGCTTTGATTCAATCAGCACAACAAATATATATTAGGACCCACCTTTTAAGTGAAGAATTTAAAACTTTGAGCGGTTAATTTTACATAGAAAATGAAGAGCCAAAATCTAATCAGTGGACCCCTCTTCTCAGGAGACTACCCTCTAAATCACATATGTGAAAGAATATAGTATAAAGTGAAGCAATGTGTGTGTTTCTCCATTAAAAATTAGCTATAGTACCATAATTTCCTTTCATTCTGAGTGCACACATGAGCAGCTATGGCAGGCAATAATTTTTTTCCTCTTTCCTGAATATTCTGAACCAGGCTTTCAAAAATCTTCTGGTGGTGGATGAGAAACACAAAAAATAACTAGAAGGGACAGCATGGCCTAAGCTGCAGGGCCAAAGGCACGGCAGGACAGGCATTTAGGAAGTTTCTCCTGCTGTTTGACCAAGTAGTGGTTTAGAGGAGTGCAGCTGAAACTGTCACCAAAGGAGGTGTTATGCTTGCAGAAAAATCTCAAGGCAAAGTACTTGCAGGCAACTCGTAGCTGTGGGATCAAGACCTAAGGGAAAGGATGGAGAGATCCAACCAGTAAGTGTGCAAGTTGGAGATAGTTCTTCTTCCAGGATACGGAGGCACCAAAGTAGTTCTAGATGACAAAGATTATTTCTTATAGAGATGGTGACATTCTTGGAAAATAGGTAGAGTGAAGTAAATCACTGTTTACTGAAATGACATCACACGACGCTGCCCATTTTGCTGAAGTTCTGTAATCTTTTGTCATGTAAATAATGTCACGTCTTTTTTATAACAAACTGATGATATCTAAAAAAATAATGACTATAAGACAACATGGAAATTACCATAATCCTTAGAATAAAAATAATCCTTAAAGTAAAAGATTATCACATCTCAAAATGCAAGTGGAAACGGAATAAATGACCTGATGATAGTTATACACATGTGCTGAATCAAATACCTTCTAGTACAAACATATTCCTTGAAAGAGAACATGAGTCTTCATGTACATATGTTCTTGGATTCATTTTCTGTATGTTCATGATCTGCATCACAGTTCTCCGGTGCATGCACCTCCAGTGCCATAGTGGCTATCAGACTATAAGTGGCTATAAGAGCTCGCTATCTGGTAATGTAGTGTAAAAACTCATATTACAAATTAAGAATATTCCCCCTAGCTGTCTGTGCCGTAGGACCCAACTTGGGTTCTGTACCATGGTCTCTTTCTTAAAAAGCACTGAACATGGGGACTTGATTTGAGATTTTTCTCTACCCCATATATGTGTATGTATATGCAGAAGATTAAACATTGCTAAGTTCTTGCAAGTCAATTGCCTAGCTATATGATTGGGCAAGGAATGTTCCAGTGGCCTTACATGTTGACTTCAGCTTATGTAAACTTCCCATGAAATGATGCAAACTTTCACACAGAGAACCATGACACCATAATGGACAGCCATTTTGTTGAGGAAAATGGAAACCCTCACCCTTTTAAAAACTAAGTTATGCTGACTTCGATCCTATTATTTCTTCACTTCGAGGTTACATTTTCTGCATCCCATAGACTAATGTCACTTCTCCATGTTGAGAACAAGAGCGGCATTTGGCATTTGATTATCCCAAACCCAAATCTCTGACCCTTTGTTTTTAGTACTTTGCCATTTTGCTTTTGCTTTTTTAATTTGCTTGTGACTCTCTGCTTCCCCCATCTTTTTTTTTTTTTTTTGGTACAATGATTCTTACCTTGTCTTTCCCCAGTCCGTTTCTGACCTGGAGAGACGTACAGCATGTTATTGTCAGGACTTCCCGTGCGGGACATTTGAACGCTAATGACTGGAAAACCAATGCTGCTGGTTTTAAGGGTGAGAACTTCTTTCATATTCTGTCACAGGCAAAATATTTTTATTTTTCTCCCATTTTATGGAGAGCAAGAAATAGAACCCCTCAAACAAAACTTAAAGTTTTGTGCTCACAGATGAAGAACTTGGTCTTTTAGAAAATAAAAGGCAATTGATATTTTTTAAATGAAGTTTAACATATAAGGCAAGTTTCCTTGGCTCTCCAGACCACAGGTCAAGTTTTTAAAAGATCAGCCAACTCCCAAATATAGTCGGCCTATGGGACTAATAGTTTACTCTTCACTGTCATTGATTATGTGAGTGGTATCTATAAAAATGTATTTTAAACTTCCTCACCTTCTGTACTGATCACTTTGCTTAAATAATAATTGATATATATTGTTCACGTTATGGTAGCACTGTTAGGCCATGCATTCTATAAATAAACTTCCACAAGCAGAAAAACAGGCTTACTTCAAAGAGATGTTACTTTATATAAACCACAAGTCCTTATGAAGCTTTATAATGTATACTTCCTATGCAGTAATGCATAGCACAGAAGAAATGCAGAATATTTTTCCCAAGGCTGATGCAGATTATATTTCCCTCCAGTGGTCTTTTTAACAGTACCCATTTTGTTTATTGGCATAGATAATATGTGTTGTAATAAAAGAAAATAATGATATGAAGCAGATGTGTAGAAGATTATTATATTTATTCAAGATGCAGATGACCTAAATTTTAATCTATTAAATTATAACAAGGATTACTTTTTATCATATCTTTATCATATCTTTACTTAAACTCCCTCCCAAATAATTTTAGTGTCATATAATTTTATAATAGCATATATTTTAATATAACATCATTTATATATGTACATATATATTTCCCTATAAATGAAAAGCAATATTTCATAGCACAAGGAATATCTACTTATAACTTGTAAGTCTGGACCTCAGGCCATCAGTTATTTAAATTCTAAGGGCCCTACTACCCCAATTTAAATATTTTGCAAGCTGAATATTAACTATGTTTGCTGTCTTACATATGATCTTAATGTATAATGGAATGTATATTTTAAAAATTATGTGCAAATAATTTATTATAGTCCCATCCTTAGCCAGAACCGGTAAATATCTCCAATAACCAGCACCACATAAACAGTTCAATTAACATCTTCACCAAAAGCTTTACTTCACTTTTAAAAGGAGAACAATATCCTTCTACTTTTGATTCTTATCAAACACTTCTTCCATGCCCAAATAATGTATAATATGGCAGAGTTCAATGAATTTGATCCTAAAGAATCATAAATATCTGTTGAGATCTCATTCTCTCAAGCGCAAATTGAGACACTCGATCTCCAAATTGCAGTTGTATGGGAAACATCAAAATTATTTGAAGTTTGAGTTATTCTGGAAAATCCAGAATGTAATTTTCCATACATATGTTTCCTTGTGATTACTTTCCACATGCTCCCAGCTCCTCCATATAAATCCATGAGGTTGTCGGGGGAATAGGGGGCCGGCATGTAACCTTGGCTGCTTCAAGGTTGAAATGAACTTCTTGGTAGAAGGTTCACAGACTAAGCACATTGACCTCCATGGAGCTGAGGAATCAACTTTAGCCCAAATAAATGTCTTAGTTTTACTTATTCCTTCTTGGCAACTAAAAAAGAGCAAATGGTTCTAATAAAACACGCAGCTCTTTTGAAAACCTCTGTTGGTTTTGGAGAGGGGGGAACAGAGGATTTAGACAAAATCACTAAACCCTAACCTGAGTGCAAGGGGAGGTGTGCACTGCTTCTGGCAAGGAGGAAATAGGATCTTACTGTTGCACGTGGCAATATTTAGTATAACGTTTCACTCTTCTCTTACATAGCTGCCAAGAGTAACAATTAAAGCTCGTTTTTTCATAGATGAATTACTCTGAGCGGTCTGGCCTCCCCACGGAATTGTTTTGTAATTTTGTTGATGGCAAGCCCCATATTTCATCTAAACATGATCATAATGAGGTGATTTTTTTTTAAAGTTATTTTCTTCCCTACTCTAAAGATTACCATCCCCTCCCAAGAGTCCCACAAATAAAAGTGATTAGGGTGGAGACTAGCAGAAGAAGCCACATGCTTTGGGGAAGCAGAGAATGCAGGTCACCAGGACTGGAGAAAAATGGGCTGACTTTTTATGAAATATTAACTGGAAGAATAAAAAAGACCTAATGTTTGGAAGAGGTTCATGCAACTGGAGCTCAGGAAGAGCTCTGCCTTCATATTGTCAGCCGACTTTTGTGGGTCTTACTTAGCAGGAATCCATGGCCACACAGCTCCCTGCTAGACTGGAGAAAGTAGTCATTGCCTACAAGCCAAACTGTGCCCACAGGGGCTCCCCTGCCCTCCCAATTCCATCCTCACACCACAGGGGTGTGCAGCTTGCCTGCAGGCAGACTTGACCCATCCTCAGTCGTGTATATAATGGGCCTGGGACACAGAAGGGGTTCCCCCTTGCAGAGCTGTGGGCTTCTAGTGGACAGGTTCTTTGGAGAGGAGGATGGCCTTGGGGACCCAAGGAGGACTCTCTCTCAACTCACTTCTGAGTTTCTCTGAGCTGCATTCTGATGAGTGAGGTCCAGAGAGCTTTCTCCTTCACTCCCTGTGCTTTCAGAGCAGTGATGCCATAGCGGAAGTAGCACGCAGGGAAGGAGGCCTCAAAGATGCAAGCCACAGTCCACATGCTCATGCTATTGGTGTTGTGATTTTTAACAATTTTAATTGAACTAAGATTATTCTGTTTTGCTGCTGCTTCAATAATAATAATAATAATAATAGTAATCTTATGTAACATAGTTAAATGTCTTTTGCAGCAGATTAATTTTTCAGATTAAGTATAATCCAGTGAATATACACCTATGGAAACTAAGCATGGATATGCCCTGCTCCTCTTGTGAGTAACTCTAGCTAAGTTTCAGACAGTGCCTTTTGAGTGTACTCCTCCTCAAGAGGTAATTTCATGAAAAATAAATGTTGTGCACCTATGAAAGAATCTATATGAAACTGTGCGTGAGAATAGGAAATTGTAAGTCATAGGCTAGATGAATAGATGTGGTATTCTGAAATCAAAATTCCAGTATTTTGCTACAGACCAACATTTGCAAGGCCAGGAGATGACTTTGGCATTAAGTTGTTTTGGGCTTTTGTCAGAATTATTTTTTTTCTTCCTTGAGCTCTTCTCTTTCCTTATATGAAAAGTGTCTTCTGTTTTTTGTTTTGCTTGCTTTGCTTTTTATTTTTAAATCTTCTCTCATGCTCCTTAAAAGGTACCAAGAAAAACTTTCTACCCTGGTGGTTTTTTCATTGAATTTAATTCATATTGTCTTTCATTTATTGATTCGTAAATATTTCCCGAGTACCTTCAACATGTGAACCCAACCCATGCTGAAAAACACCCAGAAAGCAGGAATGAATGTCAGGGACACCATGGTGTTGCTAGTCTGATCTGCTGTGGCATAATTTACATACAATGCAGAAATGGAAACTTACATAGCAGCTAGTTTTCTTTTTCACTCTGTGCCCCAACTATTTTTCAGGTTGTATTAGATAACAGTGTGGATGATCCTTCTCCCGTCGTCTAAAAATCACTCCAACCCCAGGAGCAGAAGGCATCTAAGACAAAATACTCACTACAGGTTGCAGGTGGATTTTGACCAGCTCTATTTGGGTACACAGGATGTGTGAACCCAAGCACCCATGCCAAAAGCTTTAATTCAGGTGTTTTTTATAGTCTGTGGCTTGGATCATTTCAGGAGGATGTTAGCTCTTGGGCCCATGGAAACTGCAAATCCATCATCCCTTTCTCCTTCAGGTGCCTGGACTGTGCAGCCCAATTCTTTCCCCTGAATTCTAGTTTTGGCCTGAATATGCAGTTAGGATTATACTGGAATGCGTGGACATCAGTGCTTTAGCTTTTTGTCGAAGGATTTGTATTTGGATTATATGACTGTATACAATTCTCTTAAATCTAGGAACAGGAATAGATGTCAGATAATAAATTAGGACCTTCTGTCATCTTTACTAGGCAAAAGAATGAAAAAATATCATTGCAAATCAAAAAATGACAACAAAGTGAGCAAGGTAACCACGCGTTCCACCTCACTGCTCTCCCACACTGTAAGTCTCCCTGGCCTGCATCGTGCTGCTGAAGCCTGCCCTTCCCCCACTCTCTTTCCTTGACCACCACTAAACTACTAGATTGTTTTTTAATCTCTAACTGATAACCCACCATGGGGAAAACATTTGACAGTCTAGCATGACTTCTTAGCCTCTGAGGCCTTAACATTTAATAACTTTCATCATCTTTAATTGCCAACATTTTCTTTCCATTGGTAGACCTGGTAATTTTAAGATGTTCCAGTATATTTTTAATACCTACCTGTTCTGCTTTGAGTTTGTAACAGTTGTTAAAAGGAATTACAATTACTGAAGCCACTAAGCATGCTGTGTGTTGAATCAAAATGGAAGATTTTGCATTTTTTTTTTTTTTTAGTATATGAGGCGATTTCTAATGTCTTCCTGTTTGAAAGGGTAAAATTTCATTTTATTGTATTGTTTCACTGTTCAAATAATATTCTATCTTAGCTAGTCAGTATGTGGGCTCTCTAATGGTAGCTGTGAATAAAGGTACATAATGCACCTTTGTTGGTAATCTCTACATCATGTTGTTGATGAAAGATCAAAGTGAAATGTTATTGATGTGGTCAGTGTCAGAAGTGGGATTAGAATCACGTTTCACTCTAGTCTGAACCGATTTGCCAAAAAGAAAATGCAGTTATTACTTAGAATGACAAAGGGAAGTAAATACATTTCATTTTACCTAATAAAATTTGCCCTTTGAAAATGCCACCTAGTTTTTCTAAGATTCTGTTTTCTGTGCTCTGTGAATTCATATTCATTTCATACTTATTGACTTAAAACCTTTCATCTTCATGTTTATTGATCATTTCATATGTGAGCTTACCTTCTAGATCAT